GGAAAGGAAAGGAAAGGAAAGGAAAGGAAAGGAAAGGAAAGGAAAGGGAAAGGGAAAGGGAAAGGGAAAGGGAAAGGGAAAGGGAAAGGGAAAGGAAAGGAAAAAGAAAAAACACAGTTGTATTTTGATATTACAGAGTTAAAAAAAAATTAAATATGCTTTCAATATATCAGCACCCAGCTGGGACCGCTCTTCATATTTCATTTCTGTGCTGGGTACCAAATTTAGGAGCTGAGTACCACATTTAAGAACATCCAGCAGCAGAGCTGGTGGACACAGTACATGCTGTGGTGGTGGCACTGGTGCTGCTGCTACAGGCACAAACCTGGGCTAGTGGAAGGTGTCCCTGCCTGTGGCAGGGTGGTGGAACTGGATGAGCTTTAAGATTGCTTCCAACTCAAGTCATTCTGTGATTCTATAATAAAAGATGTGAAGATTGTAGAGAAAGGTAATAGCTTTTATTAAGGGAACTGATAACAGTTTGAAGAAATAGTTGCTTTTCACAGGCAAACTCTTCTTCAGGCTGACATTTTGAAAAGTAGTTTTGTTCTGAATAGAGCAAATATAATATTTCCTGAATACTATAAAGCCAAAGACAAACTTAGGGAAACGCTCCATTTCAGAAAATTACCATCTGAGACCTCCAGTGTGTCGAGTCAAAAAGTTTCATTACAGGAGTCGCTGTGATTTAGCAATGAAAATAAAGCTTTCCAATCCTTTTTTAATAGAATTTATCTGTACTGATTTTAAATTCAGGTAACTGGATAGTTTAACTGCTGGAGGTTATTTTCCCTTCTGAGGTCAATGTTGGGAGGGAGTCTGGGGTGCTGCCAAGGAGCTCAATCATAGAACCTTAGAAATGTTTTGGTTGGAAAAGACCTTTAGGATCATCCAGACTGTTCCCCCAGCACTGCCAAGGCCACCACTAAACCGTGTCCCCAGGTGTCACATCCATGTGGCTTTTAAACACTTCCAAGGGTGGCGACTCCACCACTGCCCTGGGCAGCCTGTGCCAGGGCTGGACAGAGCTTTCCAGGAAGGAATTTTCCCTAATATCCGGTATAAATCGTCCTGGACAGAGATGTGCCTGTGAAGCTTCAGCGTCTCAGTTGTTGAAAGCTCTCATTGGTTCTAAAGCCAAATTAAATGTGTGCAAATCTATTCTAATAGAAATCAACATTCAGTGCACTGCTTGAGGAGGGTTTTGAGTTTCCAGTGGGGAAGAGGACTGGTGGGTATTTTTCTTGGGAGTTTCTGCCTTTATCCTGAAGTTTTTATTCCCTTTTAAGATATTCTTCCCACTCAGTTTAATCTGTGTAACCCCACGATTACACAGGACCCCACCATTATTTTATTGGAGGTCCTCCATCTCCATATGTGGAGGACCAAGCTCTGGGCAGAAAGGGGACCAGCACACCATCATGAGGCATCTCTCATTACAGGGAGAGATGGAAGAATAACCAATAATTCACTCTTAAAAAGCTTTATTATGTTTTTTTCTTAGGGAAGTAAACTCTCCTGGTACTTGCTGTTTCCCACAAGCCCCAGCTCAACAAGTCTTAAGATTAGCCAAAAATCTCAGCTTTTATATGATGAGAAAGCAGCTCCCTGCTGTCCAGACTGCAGAGAAGAGCTGGAGCTTTGAGCTCTAAGTAATGGGAGAGCCAAGAAAATGATTGGATAGTTTAGGATTTCTGGATGTCTCACCTGTTTTTAAGCTAGTCATCATCATAGGGTCATAGAATGGTTTGAGTTGAGTTGGCCTTAAAGATAGTCCTGTCATTTGAGGATTTGGGCTTTTGTCTTGCCTATTCCAAGAGCTTGGATCATTCTTTGCCCTGGTTCCTCTTGGGAAGTGGTTTCATTGAGTTCACCTTGTAAAATCAGGCTGTGTCTCTTACAGCAGACACGTATAAATTCCTGTCTAGGCACATAGACTCCTCTGACCTGTGATGTCTCCCAGAATCCCAGCGTGATCCAATCCAGGGGTTTATGTTCTTGGTTTGGGGTAAATTCCTCTCCAGCAGAGTTTTTCCGTACACGTGGCCCCAGTGGAGAGGATCCCACTGAGCAAGCAGGGTGCAGCCAAGCCCAGCATCACCCTGTTTTACTTTTCTAATTATTATCCATTCCCTGGTCCTTTCAGGCATACAAGAGGAAAACAGAAGCTGCGAAGAAGGAGTACCTGAAAGCTCTGGCCGCGTACCGGGCCAGCCTCGTCTCCAAGGTACCTTGCTGCTGTGGGACAGGGCAGTGCTGTGAGTTGCAACTCATGGGAACCTCCTGGAAGGAGCAAGTTTATAGGAAATACCATGTAACTGTGATATCAGAACTGATATCAGCATTGGCACCTTCCCCTGGCTTTAGTGCCCTGCAACGAAACCCCACTTTGGGTTGCTTTCATCAGCAGGGGAGGGGTGTCCCTGCATGGAGTGTTGTCCCTATTGCCTGTCCCCACCACCAGCAGCTGTTCCTCCCCCAGCTCTTGGGGTGTGAGTGCAGCAAACAGGGGCAGGAGGACGAGGCTCAGTGTGGGTGACACCGGGCGCTGGCCCAGGGGAGGATGACACCCCAGTACTGGGCTCACCAGCCAGCACTGGCACCAGCATCCTGCTGCACCCTGCTCCAGGCACTTGGGCTGTCCTGGATGCTCAGGACCCCAGGTCCTGCACACTCAGCCTAGAGCAGATTTTTGGGGAGTAGGACCCATACCTGTGGGTTGATGATCATGTGGAGCACATATGTGCTTAACCCACCACTGTCAGGCCAAACCCAGAGAGCCCATTTCAGTGCCTAGGAGTGAACTTGGAGAGCATTTCAGGCTCATACAGGAATGATGGGCCAAGTGCTTGCCCATCCCAGGGGACCTCACAGCTTGCCCTCCTCCATGCCTCCAGAGAGGGTCCGTGGGCATTTGCTGCCTGTGGATTTGGGGTGGCTTCTGTGGAGTTCATAGGTTTGCTGGCTCAGGGGTAATGCTGCCCTTGGGTTGTGAGCAAGTGTATCAGGTTGGTTTCTCTTCAAAGCTTCTCCCTTGTACTGCACCACATCCTCAGCACTTAATCGTCACATCCAGCTGCCATGGAAAATAATGTGATGTCCCAAATCAACCATCATCTGCAGGATCCGTGTGATGGTGGTGAGCTGGAAAGCCTCAAAGTCCCTGTGCAGACTGTTGGCTGTCAACTTGCAAACAGAAGAGCAGCCAGGACAGAAAAAGGGAATGGGAAAGACTTTTGGGAGTTTAAAAGCTCTTCTTGGACCTTCTGGAAACCTGTGAGGGTCCTGCCTTGACCGTGCCTCGCAGCAGTGTGGGGCAGGAGGCACGGAAGGCATGTGCTCTGTGGCTTCATTTTGTTCCAATTCCTCCAATGACCAATTCTCTGCAGAAGAGCAGCTTTGTTTTTGAGTAAAGCAGCACAGTGTGACCCTGGCTGATGGGTGAGAAAGGATCTGGAGTATCATTACAAACCCCATCACAGGACAAAAGCCTCATTGTCCAACCCAGAAAATTTCCCCTTGTTCTTCTCTTTTTCCTGCCGAAATGAGGGCACCATTGTCCAGTGCATTATAGACACTCCAGGGCTGCAAGGGGACACAAGATCAGGAAAGCAGAGGTTTTATAGACCCATTTGTTCTCCACTGGAAGCAAAATGTGGTCACCCACCTCTGTGGGCTGAAGCAGTGAGCTGCTGGTGGGCCGTTTGCCTCTTCCCTGGTTAATTCCCTCAGGTGCTCCAGGCTCTGCCAAAGGTGTGGTTGAGTTACTGGACTTCAGTTTTCCAGATATGGATGCTGCACCCAGCCTGTGGACACCCAGCTGCTGGAGGGGTGGGAGTTCATGCGCTGGCTGATGGGAGAGGAGCAGGAGCAGTGGGGTCTGGGCAGCTCGGTTGGACAGACGGACATCTCGGGACATGTAACGACGTTTCCTCTTTTCCTTCCTCACCGCCTTCCATCCTGTTTTCCCACAGAGCTCTGCCGACCAGGGGGAGACGAAAAGCGCCCAGAGCAACCCACCTTCCAAAATGATCCCCCCCAAGCAGCCCATGTACCCGATGCCTCCACAGGCTTCCTCGCCCTACCCCGGCCTGGGCTCCTTCCTGTCCCCGTCGGACCTGCAGAACTACCGCGGCCACCCCCACCCCGGGCTGTCCCGGACCCTCAGCTCCAAGCCCATGCTGCCCAGCATCAGTGCCTCCCCCCCGCCCTCCTTCCAGATCAGCCCTCCGCTCCACCAGCAGCTGTCCTTGCACCACCCGCAGAGCTCCCTCCTCTCCCAGCCCCTCAGCATGCAGCAGGTCCCGCAGCAGCCCCTCCTGTCCCCCCCCATGGCACTACAGGTACAGCCCCCCATGAACGCCTCGCCTCCCGGGCAGCAGGTGGGTGCTGGGTCCCGTGGGTTCTGGGTGGTTTGGGGGGGTCTCGGTGTTGATGTTGTCCCTAAGGGAGTCATGGAGCGTGTCCAGAGAAGGGAAAGGGGCTGGAGCAGCAGGAGGGGCTGAGGGAGCTGGGGGGGCTCAGCCTGGAGAAAAGGAGGCTCAGGGGGGACCTTCTGGCTCTGCAACTCCCTGACAGGAGGGGCGAGCTGGGGGGAGGTCGGGCTCTGCTCCCAAGTAACCAGCAGTAGGACAAGTGGAAACAGCCTCAAGTTGCACCAGGGGAGGTTTAGGTTGGATATTAGGGATATTTCATTGAAAGGGTCCCTGGAACAGCTGCCCAGAGAAGTGGTGGAATCACCGTCCCTAGAAGTGCTCAGAAAATGTGTAAATGTGGCACTTGGGGACACGGTTTAATGGTGGCCTTGGCACTGCTGGGTTAATGGATGGACTCAGTGATCTTGGAGGTCTTTTCCAACCTCAGTAATTCCATGATTCTGTGACTCCTCCAGCACAGGGGTTGAGCTTTAGCTCTGCAGAACCAAAAGTGGCTTCTGTAATTTGGTGATAGCTTGTGTCCAGAAAAGAGCATAGAAGGAGATCCTCAAAGTCGCTTTAATTGGGGTAGTTGTTGCACTGAGGGCAGCATTTTGTGAAACTTCATTCCACATAAATTTGTGAATAAAAAATTTAAATTAAAAAAAAGAAAACCCACATTGCCCTAATTGGGCTATTTTGGAGAAATTCGTGTTCTTGGTCAGGTGCCTACCATGACTCTGGTTCATATACATTGCCTAATTTTAGTTAATTAAAGCCACCCCCAGAAAATGGGGAAAGCTGATCAACTTTCAGCTAAAGCAGCACCACAGTGTCCTTGTTGAAGTGCCAGCAGTGACAGCCATTCCCACCTTCCACAGCCATTCCCTCCCACCCAGGAGGGAGGTCCTGACAAACACGAGCAGGGAAGAGGGATGTAAAACGTGTTGCTGCATTGACACCTGTTTGCAAGAACTCACAGGTCCCACCATGGTGGTTTGGGGTCCTGGGCCTGGACTGCTCCCTCTGTCCCTGGGGCTCCCCCTGCCCATTTTAGGGACAATGCATGTAAATGTATTTATGCATTGCTATTAGACCTGCTGTTCTCCTGCTGTGGATGCTCCTGTAACCCTCCCTTTCCTTTCCACTCTGCAGGACTTCTCCCATATTTCGTCTGAGTTTCAGAACAGTGTTGGACCCCGTTCGCCTGGTGCATCAAACCCTCCAGGAAGCACTGAGTGGGACAACGACTACCCCAGCAGAGAGTGTGGGGTCAACCACTGCAGGCCAGTAGACAAAACAGCCCATTGCTAATGCAGTTCATGTGATCTGAGCTGTGACAGTGGACAAGAGCTGGGAATCTGCCCTAAAATGTACAGCAAGAGGGTAGGCTGGTTATGGTCAGAGAAGTTCAAGGCTTCCTTGCCTCTGTAGGCTCACCTGGAAGCAGGTAGTTTAAAAATCATGGATAAATTCTTTACTGGACATGAAGAGATTTCTCTTTTTTTTAATTTCCATCCACTTAGTAACAGAGGGGTTGGACACATTTCCTTCTGGAGCAGACCAGGGAAGCCCAGTCTCCCAAACAGGGTCCCTGGAGGTTTGAAGGTGCCCCTGTCCATAAGGCCAGGGAGACCTCATTGCAGCCTTCCAGTATTTAAAGGGAGCTTATAAAAAAGAGGGAGAACAACTTTTTACATGGCTAGATAGTGATAGGACATGGGGGGAACAGTTTTAAACTAAAAAAGGAGAGATTTAGATTGGATATAGGGAAGAAATCCTTCCCTGTGAGGATGGGGAGGCCCTGGCACAGGTTGCCCAGAGAAGCTGTGGCTGCCCCATCCCTGGAAGTGTCCAAGGCCAGGTTGGACGGGGCTTGGAGCAACCTGGGCTAGTGGAAGGTGTCTCTGCACATGGCAGGGGGTGGAATGAGATGAGATTTAAAGGTCCCTTCCAGCCCCAACCATTCTGTGGTTCCGTGTTCCTAAAGTGATTGCTCTTATCCCTGAGGCCACAACCTCCCATAACTGCCTCTACCAGCAGGTCCACAGACATCTGCACAGATCCTCTCCCTTATGCCCTACAAGCTCTGGCATGAATGTGCCAGCATGAAGGTTCCTTCAGTGCTGCATGAATTCCTCAATGAATAAAAACCTCGGGATGGTCTTAAAGCTGGGGAACGGGGAGGGTGTGGAAGCCATTTCCAACCACTGCCTAATCCACTGCTCTTGGCTCAGCTTTAATAGTTTGGAGATTCTATTGTGCTCTGTGAAACAGGCCTGGGGTTTGCAGGGGGAGCAGGTTGGGAAGGAGGCTGGGTACCTTTGGAGTATTGTTTGATTCTCTAGAAGTACTGGAACACGGTGCTTTCAGAGGAGATAATAGCCAGCTCCCAGGCTTTTCAGAGCACAGCTCCTGTCTGTGCCAGCAGAGCACTTACAATTGCTGGGCTGTACAGACTGTACAGACATTTATTTCTTTCAGGGAGATAAATAACTGGCTGATCCATTAGAATATCTCTGCTGTCTGCCTGCCCGAGGGGGCTCAGCAACGTGGGCTCTGACAGTGACCTTTGCGTGGTCCTTCCCGAAGCCTCTGCAGACAACCTGAAAGAAGGAACATGTTCAGGACTTGATTATAAAAGTCACTTTGAATGTTGTTGGCAAAATGCTAAAGGTGCTTGGTGGGTTGTGAATCTCAATTTCCAGAGGTGCTGAGCAGCTCCCACAGAAATGAGCCCCCCTAGAAATAAGCATCATTTCTTAGGGGATCAGCTGGGAAAACATTTGATTCCCTCTGCAAATCCCACTGCCTGGGCCCCATGCAGAAAGCCCAGGGTACTCTAGAAACAGGTGTAATGTTCCCATAGCAGTCAGGAGTGAGTTTTGTGTTGCTAAAACAAGCTCTGTGACATCTGGCTGGAGTGCTGCGTTGTAAGCAGAGGGCCCATGCAATTCATGATCAAAGCTCATGCATTTCATGCCTTTGTCACAGCAGAAATATCAAATTTCATGGGTTTATCGCAGCTTCCTGGAAAAGAAAAATCATTCTAAACCCAAACAGATTATGCAGAGACTTCCAGATAATTATTAGAGTAGATTATACCAAGGAACTCAGATGGATATAGATCAGTACTGCAGAGAGTGCTTAGTGCACTGAAAAATGTCCTGCTGGCTGTTAAGGATGCCCCATCCCTGGAAGTGTCCAAGGCCCAGTTGGACAGGGCTTGGAGCAACCTGGTCTGGTGGAAGGTGTCCCTGCCCTTGGCAGGGGGGTGAAACAAGATGAGCTTTGAGGCCCCTTCCAACCCAAACCGTTCTATGGTTCAAAGACTTTCCTTCTGTGCTGCTTTCTCTGACGTGCTTTGTACCAGTTTCCATCCAATGTTCAAAGTTGCCCTTGGGCTCCTCGGTGGCACCTTGCCATGAGCTGGGTGGGGGACCTGGGCACAGCAGTGATGAAGGGAAGGCAGGTCTCGCTGGGTTTGATCTGTCAGTGCTGTTTTAGGTATAACCGGGAAGCCTCTGGATCATGTAATTGCCCATTTCAACCTCGAAAGTGCCTTGAGCCTAATTGCAATTAAAGCAGCACTCTGAGGAGCAAAATCAGCTGCTGGCTGGAAAGAAAAGGGATTGTTCACTGATGGGATGTGAGTGAGCTGTAGAGTCCCAGATTCCTGAAGGAGAGGATGGTCCCACCCTCCCCAGCACACAGACAGCCCTGTCCTGCTCTCTGGGTTGTGATTTTTATTTCATGTCTAACCTTGATATTTCTTTAGCTTCCAACATGTGTTGGCACTGGGTTAGCTGGGGTAAAAACCTCCCAGTCCTCATTTTCTTTTGTGTTTGTCACCCAGACAACTTCTGGAAAACTGACAAGGTTGTCTTTCTCTCCGTCCTTCTCCATTAATAAGGGAACTGCTGTAGGGATTTTTGTTTCCCAGCCTATCTGTGCTATTTAAAATACCATTAAATGACACTTCTTCCCACATGCCCCTCAGATTCTGGGATCCTGTGAGCAGACACTCCTTAATTCATAACTCAGCCATGTTAGGGAGAGAGAGAGAGAGAGAGAGAGAGTTTTAAATGTTTCTTAGCTCCTGCTTTCCCCATTCTTAATGACTTTTTCCTTACTGACTTCCATCCAATTTTCCTGGCTCTTTCTGGGCTGAAGCCCAAGCTGTCCTAGATTGTGAGCAAAGACATGGGTAGCATTTCTCAGCTCCTGCTTGGTGTGTGACTGTCACTTCCCACAAGTAACTGCAGCACACAATTTTATTGCTTTTTTGCCATCATATCACAAACTCCTTTCATAGTCCCCTGTCTCCCTCACCCGACAGCCTGATTCTGGCACTTGCTCTTTCCCAGGCACTGAATCCCTCTGTTTTGCAGTGACTTTCTCCAAGGGATCTGGCTCACCTCTGTCAGAAGTGCAGCTTGGTTTACAATCATGTGCAAATCTTTCTTAATTCCTTAATTAAATCTTATTTCCTTGAAGCACTTCACTTATTTTTTTCTGCCTTGTTTTCTGATTACAACTCTTTTCACACCTTCAGTGTCTGGGTCCTTTCCATCCTAGGACATTCTATGATTTACCTTTTTCTCCTCACATTTAGGTATTTTTGGAGAAACACTGAACTGGATTCATCTTTTCTTGTCCTTCCTCTCATTTGCAAGGCGCGGATTAGATTCTTTTTGTGTATCATCCTTTGACTTTTCTCCCCTCTTCCCACTCTACTTTGGACTAAAAGACAGGACACTGTCCATTATGCCTTGTCCAGACACAAAAAAAACATGTACAGCCACTCCATCCAGACATTTATAACCTCCCTAATTCCTGCTAATGACAAAGTGATCCTCTCCAAATGGGGGAATTTTCCAAACCAGAAGCTAAATGAGCAAACACTATAAAAAGGCAAGGATAACCCATCACAACTGCACTTAGTTTGGATTCAATTATTTATGTTAATACTTTGTAATGAACTGGGAAATGTACTGTAGCATGTTTTGTAAAATTAATGAAGTTTTAGTACTGGAATACCTTGCTGCTGCTCAGTGGCATTAAATCTTGGCTGAGTGCAGTAGGGAAGACTCTGCATTTTAAATGCAGATTATAAAATGTGGAGATTAGCAAAGGGCGGGCTCTTCACTGTCACAAGGCAGCTCTATCAACAACAGCACTGCCTTGCTGTCTGCCCCTTCCCTGTTGTTCCACTCACCAGCACACCCACACCAGACTCTCCCAAGGCTTTGTAATGTTCTTCATCGCTTTTTAAGGCCAAGATGTCCTTGTGGAGCCAGAGATGTTTCCCTCATGAATGCATAGGCAATAAACCCCAGTAAAATGCCTGGATTTCAGAGCAAAACCCACACAGGACGTCAGCCAGGGGAGAGGGGTTTCAGTCACTCCTCTCCCTACTATTCCATGAAAAAAAAGAGCATCTGGACTCCCTTGTAGGACACTGCTGATGGCCAGTTAGAGTGGCCAGGGGGTTGAAATGCCAGGTGGCACAGGCAGGGAAGGGAGCAGTGGTGCCTCTCTGCACACCCTGCTGTCCCCATGCGGGCTGTCTCAGTGCTGTGAGCCGATTTCCCCCCTCCAGAACACACCTGGATCTCTCGACATCAAAATCATGGTTTCAATAACATGATAATTCACGACCTGGTGCGCCAGGGATGTGCAGAGCACACAGCCTGGCTGCTGTCCCAGCAGCCCTCCTCCACAGCCTCCTTGGATTCCTTGTTCCTCCTACTGTCTTCTTCAGACCAGCTAATCCTGCTCTCTCCAAGATTTATTCCCCTCACTTCTTGATTATTAATTTTTCGAATTTTACATATCTGGGGGAGAAAAGCATCAAGCAGATGGGTGTCTGCTGCTCCCATGCTTATAAGCTATGAAACAGATGTAAATCCTCCTCACAAGCATCTTCAGGCATAAGCCCCTCAGTCACATTTTGGGACCCTCTACTCCTTACATAGAGTCAGAATGACATATTTTATCCAAATTCAGGTGTACACTTTCCAAAGCTCCATGGCTCAGCCTAAGGACAGTGTGTGATGAAGCAGGAGATGGTGACCCAGGGGTGATCCCTGGCTCAGCACTCCAGGATCCTACTGGTGTGACCTGCAGGGACATCCTGCCCTGCAGCCCCAGCAAGAGGAAAAATTGAGCCACAGGAAGGAATTTATTCTGGTAGCCCTCATTGTTGAAATTCAGGAATAAATAAAATTGCACCAGGCTCTTACTTCTTACTCTTACTGGGGACCTTTTTGCTCTTTACAACTACCTGAGAGGAGGGTGCAGTCAAGGGGATGCTGTTCTCTTCTCCCAAGTGATGGCAAAAGAGGAGACAGCCCCAAGTTGCACCAGAGGAGGTTTAAATTGGATATCAGGGAAAATTTCTTCACTGAAAGGAGGGCCAAGCATTGGAAGGAGCTGCCCAGGGCAGTGGTAAAGTCCCCATCCCTGGAGGAATTTAAGAGACGTGTAGATGTGGCACTTGGGGACATGGTGTAGTGGTGGCCTTGGCAGTGCTGGGGAATGATTGGAATTGATGATCTGAGAGGGCTTTCCCAACCTCAGTAATTCTGTGACTTTTATGTGCCTCTGCCTTGCCCCCCTCTGTGCAAACCACGTATACAATTTTAGCCTTATGGACCATAGAGAAATGAAGCCTAGACTGACTTTATTTTAATTAGAGTAAGGTGATGACTTAAGTATCAATTCAAAAGTAAGAAGTAAAGCATTTTTGATAATACAGGTAATGAATTGTCCTTTTGATTTTGATTCAAATTGCTGGGAAAAGTGTTTCACTTAGATAACAGAAGGTACTTGAGTTATCCAAGCAGAAACGTATGGACGTGTTCTCATTGCAGAGCACCGATAATAACAAATAAACACCAATTATAAAACCCGTCGTGGCGTATTCCAGGATCCTGCCTCACCCTGTGCCTCTCGTTTCTCTTACAGCATGCTGCCAAGGGACAAGGCACTCTACCTCACCTAAGGCTCACCACCCCTTTTGGAGGAGGCTCAGAGGAAGGACACTTGAGAGGGTCTATCCCACAGACCACCCCGGGGGAGGCACGAGCAAGTCGTACGGGCGGGAGAGCTGCCACTTGCACCTCGTCGCTGGCTTCGTTCCCAGGCTCTGAGAGCAGTTTTGGTTTTGTTTTTTTTTTCTTTCCTTATTTTTTTTGAACTCTAAAAAAAAAAAAGTCTACTACTTTTTTTTTTTTTCTCCGCGGAAGCCCAAAAATAAAAAACAAAACAACAAACCACACCTCGTGAATCGTAAAGAACAAAAAAACGAAAAAGAAAGGAATAAAGCTAAAAATAAAAATAAAATTTAAAAAAAAATTAAAATAAACGCAAAACCAACAAAAAAAAATAATAAAAATTATCTGAGGACACCGTTTTTCTGCTTGCCATCAGCTTAGCTACAGACTATTTTCCTAGTGAACTGCTTTTAGACGCAGCATAAGCCCAGGTCTGGTGTCCTACAGCATTAGGCCAGCTCAGTAGGAGGATGCACTCTTTTGACTTGCTAACAGCACTAAACTTTGTGCAAGAAAATGTGAAGTTTGTGTGAATATTGTACATGCAAAGGCCTTGGATGGTCTGGCAAAAAAAAAAAAAAATTACAAAAAATAAATAAAAACTATTGCTAGGTAGGTGGGGGGAGAGAGCAGAAGGCAAAATACGGGCAGAAAAATGTGAAAAAGATCATGAAAATATAATTTGTTGGATAGTTGTAAGTAGTTTACTAAGTGTTTTAGAGCTGTGCTAAAGACATCTTTAAGATTTTTTTGTGAAAGAAATTAGTAGTTTACTTTATAGTAAAAGCATTTTATATTAATTGTAGCACATTTTTTAGTTATACATAGAAGGGAGATGTGTATAAAAAAAACCAACAAAAAAAGCCTGCCAAACTTGTTTCTATTATTTGTACAGCAAGAAATGGACAATTTATATCCATGTTGTATGGCATTATTATTTTTTTTCGGCCATATGTCCATCTATTTAAAAATTGCTGACAATGACTTTTGTCTATTTATGAAAAATTAGAGAGCATAATTACAGTTTCTCATAAGGTGCATTTTTGGGGTTCTTTTTTTTGTTTTGTTTTTAATTATTTTTTATTTTGTTTGACGGCGCTGCTTTCGCAGCACCTGGCACATTCGGTTCACAATGCTTATCTTACCTTTCTTTATAATAAAACATATGAAAAGTAGAGCTGAAGTCTCTCCTTATTCTGGGGGACACCCTGCAAGTGTCCTGGCCAGTGAGATCCCTGCCTTGTCCTCCTCGGCTTTTCCATCCTTCCCTCGTCTCTCATCACATCCTCACCTGCCCCAGCTCTGTTGACCCGAATCCATTGTTTCCTTGGATGAGAAGGACACGAAAAGGATGGAAAATTCCCATGGTGTAAGGATGGAACTGGCGTTTCCAACCTTCTGTAGCAGGGATGGAACATTCAAGTGGTGTGAAAAATAGCATGATGTGAAAGTTCACCCCCTGGGCCACCTGCCTGGAGGAAAACTCTTAATTATTGTGCCATTTTAAGCCCATTTGTAGACACAGCTTGGCTGTAGGAGTCTCATCACATTGTGTCACAGAAGGGTTTGGGTTGGAAGGGACATTAAAGCTCATCCAGTTCCACCTCCTGCCATGGGCAGGGACACCTTCCACTGGACCAGATTGCTCCAAACCTCATCCAACCCGACCTGCAACACTGCTCCAAGAAGTTGAACAAAACATGGTTGTTTTGATCACCTCATGGTCTCACATGTGCTGTAAAACCTTCCTGCCAAGGAATGCCCATTGAAGCCCCTCAAAATACCAAGCCCCAGCTCTCATTGTCCCACAGGCCACTGGGCAGGGCAAGGAACACGTTGTGGGAGTTGTCCTGCTGCACCCTCTGGTTGACACTTCATCCTGCACACCCTGCTGGCACATCAGACACCCCAAATCCCACCCAGCATTGCCCACTCTGTGTTGGGGCAGGGAGGAAAACCTTCTGAGATGGAGGGAAGGTTTGGGGCATGGTGGGTTTGGACCAAGCAGCTCCCAGCAGACCACCCTGGGTGCCAGGAGAAGTGGAGATAACAGCACCATGGCAAATCCCTGCAGCTTCAGGACCCCACAGAGGCTTGAAGGTATCCAGGTAGGTCATGAGCTGCTCCTGCAACCATACTGTGGAGCTGGGCAGGGTTCTGGATGAAGCTTTAGATGTGGGACTCTGCCTCGTTGCTGGCCAGCATGAAGCTCCCCTTTTATCTCTGCAATCTTGAGGCATTTGAAAATAAAAATAAAATGCATAAAAAAACCTTCCCAGGGAGCAGCAGGAGCAATAGCATTGGCAGCCCAGCTTAGTGAGCTTGTGGTGAGGAGATAATTACCCTGCAATATCAGAGCCAGGAGATTTCTTCCAAATATGCAATTATTAAAATAAGGGGGGGAAAATAGAACATTAAGATGAAAACCTTCCTTTAGTTATCACAGCGAGGAGATAGGACTTACTCCAGGGAGAGTTTCTGGAATGTTAATATTTTGTGTGTGGCAGGTAAGTGGCCTTGAGACTCTGAAATCACAGGGAAGAGGTTTCTAGCCCTGGGAGAAGGTCTGGAAGGAACCATCACTGGAAGTGTTGCTTTGCTCCAGGTCCCTGTGGTTTGTCCTTTCTGGAGGAAGGTGCCATCCATGATGCCCAGCAGCCCCCTGGCCCTGTGCCCCAGCTGTGTCACCTTTGGGTCGCTGTGACAGTGGATTTGGAGCACTTTGGAAGCCTCCACGGAGAAAGTCTCCTCTATTTGTGGGACCACAGTGCAGGGAGCCATTGAAAGGTGACCTTGCCAGTTTAGGATTAACTGTGCAGAGCAATAACCACATTTTTAAAAACTTTCTGGCCATGCACCCACAATTTCTGCAGGGCTGCCCTGCTCCCTCTGCTTCTCTGCAAAGGGCTGGTGGCCAGCAAGGAGCAAGGACCCACTTCCATCCTTGGTGATGTGGGAGCCACCTCAGGAATGAAGGGCAGTTGGCTCTTAGAGAGCCTGAAGCTCTAATAAGAAATTGTGAGGCATTCCAGACCACTTCAATCACTCCTAATCTCTGAATTTGCATGATGGCAGCTGTGCTTAAATGGCATTCCAGCTGTTAGCTAATTGTCATGGACCTGGAATTGCTCCAGGGAAGCAACTGGGAGCTGAGCCTCCCATCCACCATCACAGCTGGCTCACAAAATCATAGAATCCCAGGATGCTTTAGGTTGGTTTTGGGACCTTAAAGGCCATCCACCCTCCTGCCATGGGCAGGGACACCTTCCACCAGCCCAGGTTGCTCCAAGCCCCGTCCAACCTGGCCTTGGACACTTCCAGGGATGGGGCAGCCACAGCTTCTCTGGGCAACCTGGGCCAGGGCCTCCCCACTCTCACAGCCAAGAATTTCTTCCTAACATATAATCTAAATTTCTGCTCTTTCAGTTTAAAGCCAGTCCCCCTTGTCCTGTCACTATCTGGTGTTGTAATTAGTTGCTCTTTGTCGGTTTTACAGGCCCCCTTCAAGTAATGAAGGGGTTCATCCAGTCTCCACCAATGGGTTCAGCCCCCTGAGGGTCAGCACCCAGAGCCCTGGGCTGGGCAGCAATGACACGACTGGGGGAGCCTCCCCTTGCCCCAAACCCTTGGTCTATAATTAACATTAGTAGAAAACGCAGTAGCCAGGTCTCAAGAAGCCTCAGGGCAGGGTCAGCTCTTCCTGAACCCTGCCTGGGTGCCTAAAGTCCCTTTAAAAACCTTTAAATTCCAGGCAGATAACCTAAATCTCTCTCCCTACAAAGCAAATCCCTCGCTTTTGAACATAGGGAAGAATTTATTGCTTTCCTTGTTGCGGTAATTTTTTCCATATTTGAAGAAGGATATTGGCTCCCCCCCACCTCCTCTCCACCTGCCCCAGCTGTTGCAATGGCAGAGGTCGTGTTCTGGAGCAGGATGAGCTGTGCAGCTTCCAATTTTAGTCAAAGAGCACCAGTTAGATCCTCAAAAGCCTCTGGAACAGCTTTGGGGCTGGGGACTCACAGGGCAGGGGAAGGGGCAGGACCAAGGCAGGCATTCCCAGGGATCGGGCTAATGATGGAGAGGGATGTTAAGAGGCAGGAGCAGGGAGAGACCTGGCTAATTGACTTTGGTTTATGAAGACATAATTAGCAGCGCTGCAGGATGTAATGGGGAGTTTAACAAACCTCATCAGCGGGATCCCGGTGGTGTTTAACCCTTGGAGCGCAGCCCCAGGCAGGTGGGGTGGGTGACTCCAGACAGCCATGCCTGGCTCCCACTGAAACAGGGATACCACCAGCATCCCACCACCCCACCAGGACACAGCCTCCTGCATAGCCAGGGTGTGGAAAGGGCCTGCTCCTGGCTTGTGGTTTCTCCTCAGGCACCACCCTGAGCTGTGCCCACGGCCACGAACGCCCAGCAGCGCTGGGAGGAAGCTTTGTCTTTGTTACATCTGTGTTATTATTATCAAGATGATGGAATGGAAGGGAAAACAGCCCTGACAAGCAATATTGAGGGGTTTACGCAAGAAGGATCAAAGGAAAGGACTTCATTTGATAAATCCTGGGTCCCTGACAACTGCAGCACGTGCGAGGAACAGCAGCCTTGTGCCAGCCCCGGCGAGGTCCTGGTCCCCACCCAGGGCAGATTTGCACCTTGGCAAGTGTCCATGTTCCCAAAGGTCCTATGGGGGTTGGGAATGCTGTGGTGAGAGCAGCACAGTCCTCACTGTGCTCCTGCTGGGAGCAGAGTGGTCAGACTTGGAGCGACTCCACGGTGGTGGAAATGTGCTGCAGCACTGGGACCCAGCTCTTGGCACAGCACCCACACACAGGGGACACCAGGACCCCCAGTGCTGTGCAACCAGGCAAAGAGGTTGGATGTTGGACCCAGCACTGGCTGTGCAGCACCTATAGCTCATCACCCAGATGTGCCTGTGCTCCACCAGGGCAGTGCCACCATCACACACTCCCACCTGTGGCATGACCCAGCCCATGGATGCAGGCATGGGATCACAGAATCATAGAATGGTTCGGGTTGGAAGGGACCTTAAATTTCACCACATTCCAGCCTCCTGACACAGGCAGGGACACCTTCCACTAGCCCAGGTTGCTCCAAGCCCCGTCCAACC